TCCTCCCCTTATTGACCTCCTGCGGTCTGAACTTAGAACCGAGATACCCTGGTTCTCCCCAGCAGCCCTCAACTGTCCCCACTAACGCCTAATCCTACTGGTACCTAACTACTCAGCCATTTCGATAAGACCAGGCCTCTATCTCTGTGCACCCGGTTGGTCGGGTGTCCCTACAGCACTGGCTTCGGTAAATACCATGATGTGGGGGCTGGGTTCTTTTTTTTTTTTTTTTTTTTGGTGGGGAAAAAAGCGAGGCCTTAATTGCAAATTCATGAAAGAAGGAAGAACACCAGTCTTTCATGAATTCGCAATGAAGGCCTCGTTTTTTTCCCCACAAAAAAAAAAAAATCAAGCCCGGCCGCCACATCATGGTATTTACCGAAGCCAGTGCTGTAGGGACACCCGACCAACCCATCGACTTTCCTCACCGAGGTTTAAAAACTCTGATGACTACGATCTCCAACCAACGACCGGTCGTATGACTGCCCCTGATGCAGCGGCATCGATCCGTCTCTTCACCGACCGGTAGGTTCCAGCTCGGTTAGTCGTTTAGTTCAATGCCGTCCTGTGATTCGCTAGGATCTCGCACGTAGAGAGGAAGCCACGTTGGGCTCCTGTATACTGCATCACGCCACATGCCCTAGCTAACTAATTACGTTGGGCGTCGCTCACGCCACCCAGTGACACCAGTGCAAGCCCTCGTTCGACATGGCGCTTTTTTTTTTTTTTTTTTTTTTTTTTGACATGGCGCTTTGAACTGGCGACAACAGCGGCCTCGCTCAGTTGGTAAGGCACGTAAGTGGCATTCAGGAGGTCTTGGGTTCAATCCCCATTGGCCTCGTGTACCTTCCTGGGCATGCTTGGCGCCCGCCACCTAGAGATAGCCCGTTGCTCGGCCCCTCTGCTACCGGCTGTCCCCTGGCCGGTGTGCCCCCAATGCATTGGGGGTTCCCTGAAGGCAATACATAAAGGCCACCCTGGGCTGAAAAGGCCACCCGATGCCAGATTAGACACTATTGAATTTACCTGGGCTGGTTAGTCCGATGATAATACCTCAACTCCATCGCCCTTAAAAAAAAAAAAAAAAAAAAAAAAAAAAGGGGGGGGGAAACGACAAAGACCAAATAAAAAAACTCAACGCCATCGCCCTTAAGAAAAAAAAGAAAAAAAAAAAGGGGGAAACGACGAAGACCAAATAAAAAAAAGAAAAACATATGATAATCAGAGAGATGGCTACCACATCCAAGGAAGGCAGCAGGCGCGCAAATTACCCAATCCTGGCATGGGGGGAGGCAGTGACAATAAGATAACAATACTGGGAGGGGGGGGAACAACAAAAAAGACTCGTCAGATCACCGCGCGGCTGCTTTCTGGACATGAAGTTGATTCCTCGCCGCAGCCAACAAATCTGTATATACTATTACCCCCTCTCCTCGACACCATCGAGACGTTTCACACCCATCCCGATCGATGTCTCCTCTCATCCCGACATGTCCCAAAAGGTGTTAATTCTCTCCCCAATCAATTATCATGGTCGACGACACTAATGCAGCCAACTTTCCCTCTCTCACTCTCGCTCTTCTCTGGTGCTGCACACCGGCACTGAAAACACTCCATCATCATCATCATCATCATCATCATCATCATCATTCTTCTTCTTCTCCTTCGTCTTCGCCATCGTCTTCTTCTTCGTGATCACTGTGTTTTCCCTTTTTTTCAATTTGGATTGGACTATTTCTCGATTTATGCGTGTCATCCTTGATTGCGCAGGGGCCATGCTAATCTTCTTTCTCTGTATCGTTCCAGTTTTCTGATGGGCGCCCCACCAATCTTCTTGGTTTTCTTACTCATCATCTTGTTTAATGAGTGGCCAAACAATCGATTAATCAAAATCCAGTATTGGTTCTTTTCCTTTGTCATTACCTTGTTTGCTGATCGCTGCCCCGTCATTCTTCTTCTTCTTCTTCTTCTTCTTCTTCTTCTTTGTCGTGGGAGTGCCCAATCAGTTAATCGAGAAAAAAACTAAGTTCACCAACCGATGTATCCATCCTATCCAATCCAATCGCACCCATCAATCAGAAAACCAATCAACAAATCGATCAACCAATTGAACGCTCGCCCATCAATTGATCGGTGGTTGATTGATCAATATAACCTCTGGCCTCCTCATCTCTCTCTCTCTCTCTCTCTCTCTCTCTCTCTCTCTCTCTCTCTCTCTCTTCTTCGCCCAACTCCCACATGCTCGCTTTTCCCTTCTGCATAGCGTTGGCCCCATGGCAGGAGAAGGAGAGGGACACGTATGGAGGGATCTCCGAGAGACAAAATGAAGACAACCAGGAGCCAGTCGAGCATATCGGATACTTTAACTACCAGTACTTGGCCCAGCTATCGGCCACGGGAAAAAATAGAGTAGAAACGTTTCTAGTCTGATGAATTTGGGCGCTCCTTTAGTGGCCCATACGTTTCCTAAAATCGTGGCTTGTATACGGGCATGACTTTAGGAGGTACTGGTGGTTTAAGACATCAACCCTCGTACTCTTTTCATGTTTCTTTTCATCTCAGGGTGATTGTCACTGTGCAGAGACGAGAGAAACGCCTCCTCAGGTGCCGTAGGTTCGGCGTCCTAATCTGACCCCTTGGCACATTCACGATATCAGCTCTCTCTCTCTCTCTCTGTCTCTCTCTCTCTCTCTCTCTCTCTCTCTCTATCTATCTATCTATATATATATATATATCTATATCTATATATATATATATATATATATCGTCACAAACAGAACTGCCCGGTAAACCGTAGGCAGAGAGAGAGAAGAGGACAACAAACGAGGGGCTATGACAAACTGTTTCGTCGGAGTCTATCTATCTATCTATCTATCTATCTCGCGTCCCCTTAGGTTTTCCCTCGAAGCATGTACCTGTCTCGTTCACACATCCACTACCAGTTCTCTCTCTCTCTCTCTCTCTCTCTCTCTCTCTCTCTCTCTCTCTCTCTCTCTCTCTCTCTCTCTCTCTCTCTCTCTCTCTCTCTCTCGCTCGCTGCTCTCTCTCACGCTGCCGGAAAAAATCACAAAGACCGCACACTTTTTCAGTTCAGCCGAAGGGAAAAGAACAAAAAAAAAAAAAAAAAAAGGAGGTTCACCCGAGGCAACCAGTCAACTACGGTTCGACCGAACCGGAAGGTCCGGCAGAACAGAAACATACTGCCGAACCGGAACCGTTACGTACGTTGTTGAAAAGCTCGCCGGGCGGGAATCCTCACCGACGCGGTGAAGAGTTCGCAGACTGCCAATCAGTACGTTGTCGAACCGATGGTTTGAACTCCGGTTCGAACTTGGAATTACTAGTAAAAGTTCGCAAGCACTGAAATTTCAGACAAACCACAATACCATTCTGAAATTCGAAATGTATCACAGAAGAGGAACGTCACCTACAGGATATTCCGATACTACGACTACTAAGCGGTTTGGGGGAGAGAGAGAGAGAGAGAGAGAGAGAGAGAGAGAGAGAGAGAGACAGAGAGAGAGAGAGAGAGAGAGGTGTGGGGGGGGGCAGGATGTAATGTTTCCAGAATAGGCCTTTTGAGGCCTCGACCATCTGCGGAGAATAAAAAAGTACGGAAAAAAAAGGAGGGTTTTCGTAATGCTGTAATTAGTAATTACTAATTACTTAAACCGGCAAGTGCAAGTTTGCGTCTCGGCAGCGTCTGTGGGCCTCGCCGCACTACTCAATGAATGTGCAAAACGGAGAATGCATCTTCCGTTAGAACGTGGAAACATGCACCCGCCATAGGTTTTGTCTTTTTCACATTTGGCAACTGTTGCAGCGAGGCCCAGTGTTACTAAGCAAGAACTTGAAAGTCGATATTGGTTCGCCCGCCCGCTGACCGATTTGACAAAAAAAAAGGAAAAAGGGCGCCTGATTTGTACAAATCCCCGCTGACCGATTTGACAAAAAAAAAGGAAAAAGGGCGCAAAGGTGAAAGAAACAGAAGAAAACAAAAAAAAAAAATCGTTTTTTTATCTTCTTTCTTACAACTCCCCCTGTTCAGAACCTCTTGCGTACAAGGCCGCCACGTGGATGTATATATATATCTTCACATGAATATCAGAGCGCAAAAGCGAAAAAACAAAAGGAGACAAAAAAGATATCAATTCATTTTGTTTTCTTCCTTACAACTCCCCCTGTTCAGAACCTCTTGCGTACAAGGCCTCCCACGTGGATGTAGGTTGAGCGGCGGCTTCCCCCAACACCGTGTGTCATATCGACCCACTTGCACACAGCCAATCGACCCACTTGCACACAGCCAAAGGGCAAAGAGGCAAAGAAAAGAGGAAGTGAACAGCCAAATACAACAAAACAGGGGGCAACAAGCAACAGCACCAAAAACAGATCATAGATGGCAAGTCCCACATGCAAGCACCGGCCCTCCTTCACAGGCCAAACGACGGGATGTATATATGTTTGACGATACATATAGTCAAACAGAGCTGCCCGGTAAACCGTAGGCAGAGAGGGAGAAGCGGACATATATATTCTTACTGTAAATAAGTCTTTATGAAGTACTCATCATATGGTAAATCTGAGTGATTTAACTCAGATGTATGGGAAATTGGACGGATTTCATGGTCACCGTGATAATTATGGCAGCAAATTAAGAACAATGGAGCCGGCTTAGGAAGGTGATGACGATAGCCACGAAGCGGAGGAAGGCGAATACACCCATGTTGTGAAGAGGAAAAGGATGAAAAAAAAAAAAAAAAAGGCGAAGAGGGACCAGAGAAGCACTGGTCGGCGATGGCAGAGTAGCACAAGACAGGATGGAGACAACGGAGAGGAGGGAGAGGCACATAGTACCCGAATCAAATCTTTAGCAGGAGAAAATCTAAGGACGATTCCAACAAATACAGTAAAGGGATGAACTCTACGATGGGCGGGTGGGTGGGTGGGCAGAGCCGGGAGCGGGCGGGCCGCGCCCCCGCGATGGATGGTACTTCACTCACCTTTGAGGCTTTGAGCTGTTCCTTGAGGAATTCTGTCGATTTGCCTAGGAATTCTGTCGATTTGCCTAGGAATTCTGTCGATTTGCATAGAAATTTCGACATAGTTGCTTTCCGGAGCTGCTGGTCGGTTGCCGGTTGCTGCCACCTCCCGCCGCTCTCTCTCTCTCTCTCTCTCTCTCTCTCTCTCTCTCTCTCTCTCTCTCTCTCTCTC